TATTTTTATATTTGGTTTTTGATTGTGGATGGAGTATTTGGCCTATTTTTGGCTTTGAACTACATACGGTATTAACCCATGTCACTCCAGGTCACATCAAACGAAATTTTTTCTCTTCCTGGCATGAGATGCGCCCCTTGGATGTCTCCTCTTCCATCTACTACAGAACACTGCTAACTAGAAAAGTAAGCAGAGCCCAGCCAGTCATCCACCACATACCACATTGAGGGGTTACTACTGCTACACTTGCTGTTTCAGCAGATGAAATTTGCACTCAGTAGAGACAAAGATATGGCATCACTTCTCCAAGAACTCTGAAAGACAGTGATCTTAAGTTATACAGGGTAGACCATAGTAAATCTTACTATCCCAGTCTTATCACTGCCTTGGTATCTTCTCATGCTAAACAAATTAAAACATCAACTTGTCCTCCAAAACCATGGCAACCGTCTTGTTGGTGAGAGTGAGTGAAACTTCCTGTAGGCAAATTTAACTATATATTATACTCTATAATTGTTAGTACTTTAATTTCAAGTAGGCATCCTTACATGTTGCTGTCAAATAGACTGATGTTTAGTCTAGACTGCCTATACAGACATATTTTCTGCATGCACTGGCTGTACCTTACGCAGCAAATGCCTCAGCACAGATTTGGTTGTATATATGGTTACTTGTAAAGAGCGGTTGAAGCCAGATACATATGTGAGTGAGAGTTTGCCTTTATGTTTCCAAGCTATACCTGGAGACTGTAAGCTCTGGGCTCCAGTGGCTTGGTATGGACGAGCTGTCATGTAAGCTTTAAGACACCGTCGTGGCTGGTTGGGGAAAAATTGGACCTACCAAGATATGGTAGAGGGCAGGTACGTGCTAGGGTTGCCATTTTTGGTTGGATGTATTCCTGGAGGTTTCATCACATGATGTAATCTTTCATTAAAAATTAATTTTTAATTCCTGGAGACACCAGGGCAATCCTGGAGGCTTGGCAACCTTGGTACCTGAACAAACGTAGTGTGTGTCCCTCTGTTGAACCTTTTTGCCCTATTCTCATGGGCAGGCGGTGTGCTAACATTTACCAGAATGCTGTTCTGAATACTACTAACAACATAATGACAGGTTTCAGAGTAGCAGCCATGTTAGTATGTAGTCACAAAAAGAAAAGGGGTACTTGTGGCACCTTAGAGACTAACAAATTTCGTGAGCTACAGCTCACTTCATCGGATGCATTCAGTGGAATTTCCACTGAATGCATCCGATGAAGATGAAGTGAGCTGTAGCTCACGAAAGCTTATGCTCAAATAAATTTGTTAGTCTCTTAAGGTGCCACAAGTACTCCTGTTCTTTTTACTAATAACATAACTGTTGTAAATAACATTCCCCATAGACACATTGTTCTGCTACACATGGTGGTGAATAAAGGAAAAATATGTAGGATTGTAAAGTCCATTTATTCATATCTGAATACTGGTGACAGCAGAATTTTCAGAAGCCTTCTCAATCTATCATTACCTTTGTACACTCAGTAGCTAACCTCCCAGTGATCTGCTGCACACTATCTATCCATCGCACTGGTTGTCCCCTATAATGATGACCCAGCACCATTCCTTCCATTATAACTTTCTCAGGTTATTCCACCTCTGTGCCTGATGTAACCGGGGTACGTAAGTTTGGGCTTGTTGATTTCTGAGAGCAGGGGTCCACTCCTGTCCAATAATTTTATATTTTTATAAAACATATTCATCTTTTCTATCCAGGAGATACACAAGAGTCTTCAAACACCACATCTCAAATGCTTTGGTTTTCTTCTTGTTAGCAGCATTAGTTTCCCAGGATTCACATCCATAAGTTGCTATGGAAAAGAAATTTAAGCTTTTCTCCAATCTAACCGTCATACATTTCAAGATGCCACAATTTTCCCACAGTTTCATAAGGGAGGCCATGGCTGTGGGAGTCATCCCTAGTGCTCTGATTTGAGCAGCCTTCTTGGCTGGATGTGTGTGAGCCCAGATAACTAAATTCATCTACAGCTTGACTGTGTTAATCGTGATGTCCGCTTGCATCCTTTTATTGATTGTGTCAACGAATGTGCATTTCATATTCCTCGCTAGCTGTTTTTACAGACTCCCAGCATTTGTTGCATTGCATCAGCAGTTGCAGCAAGAGTGTTGTATCAGCATATCTGCGGTTAGTTTTAAGAAGTGTCCACCAATGGAAATCTGAGCTCCTTTCACTTTATCAAAACCTTCCAGGGCTTCTCATAATAAATTCTCTGTATGTATTGAAGAGACTTGGGGACAGAAATACACCCTTGTCTCACAGCCTGCCCAATGAAAAACCACTTGCTGTTGCTCAGTGTTGTTTGTACCATGATCTGTTGTTGACCGATGCAACTGGTGATGACTTCAATGAGATGCTTTCAAATCCACCTATCTGCCAGTAACCTCCAGAGACCGTCATGTCAGACGGTATCAAATACTTTGGAATAGTCAATGAGACGTGTTATCAGTGGGTTATTATGCTTCCTGCATCTTTCAGTGTTATAACTGATATTTGCTATTTTATTACATAGGCCTTGTCCCTCTCTGAAACCAGCTGTTGTTGTGTTGGTGGTGGCTCTATCCTTCACTTTGTGATCCTGAATTATGTAGAGCAGCATTTCACTCACGTGTGATATCAGGGAGATGGTGCTGAAGGGAATAGAACAGCCTGCAGTAACTTCCTTTGGTAAGGGCAGAAAGATTCCTTTCGTCCAGTCATCTGGCCAGTTTCCAGTCATCCATACATTAAAGCAAATTTTCCACATGAGTTCAATACCATGATCACCAATTACCTTTCAGCAATTGTGCTGGTACGTTATCTAGCCATGGTGCTTTCCCAGGCTTCGTTTCCATAATAGCTGGCACCACTGCCTCTCATAGGGTTGACGGCTCCAGCTCTGTACTCGTTCCTATTGTCCTGTGTTGTAAGTGGTTCTGAGGCATACATATTGGCACAGTAATCTCTCTACCTGCATTTGATGATATCACTTTCAATAAGAACTCTGCCATCATGATCTTTTATTATACTCTCTCGCAGGAAAATCTTTAGTAAGAAATCTGACCAGTATACTATGGGTAGGCCCCTACCAAATTCATGGCCATGCGAAAACGCATCCCGGACCGCGAAATCTGGTCTTTTGTGTGCTTTTACCCGATACTAAACAGATCTCACAAGAGAGACCAGCATTTCTCAAATTGGGGGTCCTGACCCAAAAGGGAGTTGCAGGGGAGTCACAAGGTTATTTTAGGGGGGTTGTGGTATTGCCACCGTGACTTCTGGGCTGCCGTCAGAGCTGGGGAGCTGGAGAGCGGCGGCTGTTGGCCAGACACCCCACTCTGAAGGCGGCACCCCGCCACCAGCAGTGCAGAAGGAAGGGTGGCAATACCATACCATGCCGTCCTTACTGGTGCGCTGCTGCTGCTGCCGTTGGCTCTGCCTTCAGAGCTGGACTCCTGGCCGGCAGCTGCCACCCTCCAGCTGCCCAGCTCCCAAGGCAGCGCAGAAGTCAGGATAGCAGTACCACGACCCCCCCCTACAATAACCTTACAATAACCTTGCGACCTCTCCCTCCCCCACAACTCCTTTTTGTGTCAGGACCCCTATAATTACAACACTGAAATTTCAGATTTAAATAGCTGAAATCATGAAATTTATTAATTTTTTAAAATCCTGTGACCATGATATTGACCAAAATGGACCAAGAATTTGGTATAGCTCTAACTATTGGGGAGAGGGCAGTTGACCTGACTTTGTGACTTTTTTTGGAAGGGGTCTCTAGGAATATAATTCTAATTTTAAATTGAAACCCTCATTTGGGATTGTTGGTAGAGAACATTTCAGAAACCAGAAAGATATCATAAAGTCACTTAAGACTGCATACTATCAGTATAAAATATGGGGTATTATTTAGACCGTGGCATTCTGAAGACAGTGATCCTTTCAAAGGATTTGTGTAGCAGAGAAATTTGATGTATTTTTTTGGGTGGGAGACTTGTGATATGTGGGAATGGGGGAGGGGTACTGAGCTTTGGAGTAAAAGGTCTGATCATTTCAATGTGTAGGCACACATACGAGTCTGTTTGAGAGACCAGGATATGTGCAGATGTAACTGCAGTGTACAGGAGTTGGAGTAATGTAACAGCACGCTCATAATGTGCAGCAAGAATGGAGAAAAAAATATCTGGAGCTATCTTCAAAAGCCTTGTGTCAGGTTTCAGGAGCTGAACTTGCTCATGTTATGGATACATCTGACAGAAGCTTGAAAGTATTCCTCTGTAAGCATGGCTTTGGATTTTCAAATCTCAGTCCATCTGCAACCCTGCATTTCAAGTCAGAGGTTGAACTTTCAGTTTGTTCTGCTGTAATGGTAAGTTCAGAAAATAAAACCTTAAACAAACTAAATTTTGGTTTGCGTGCTTACCTTATAGCTGTCTTTTTATCTTGTGCCTCTTTGACTTCAGCATATTGGCAAAGGGTAGCAATATTATCTCAGTTGATCAGTTTCTTTACTGAATTCTCTTTCACAAATTCACTAACTCTGCTTTGTTGTTGTGGATTTGCCAGTGAGCCATGGTCTACTGGCATGAATCTTTTATAGGAGCGTGTGATTACCCATGTTCCAGACAATCTCAGTACAAACCTAATTATTATGGAAGAATTAAGGAATCATTTAAACTCTTGCAGCTCATAAAAGGGTCATCTGTTGTCCATTCTGCAGCAGTGTAGCCAGAAAATAGAGTAATCTTGGCCGTGTTAAAGGGAACTCTGAGGAAGGAGATACTGCAAACAATTGCTGGTTGCAGTTCAAATTTTAAATAACTTTGCAGTTTAGTTAACACTTTTATATACAAAGCTGGTCCAAATATGTTCATAATAGAGATGGCACAAGACTAACTACAGTTATGTGGTACATGTGATCTATGGTGGTCATTTTGCTCATGGTTTTTCCTTCATTTTTTTTCCAGGCAAGGAATGTGTGCAGCAGTTGGCAGAGAACACCAGGTATTTCAGGAGGCGGCTGAAGGAGATGGGTTTTATTATCTATGGAAACGAAGATTCTCCAGTTGTGCCTTTGATGCTGTACATGCCAGCAAAAATTGGGTAGGTTCAGTGGAGAAAATTCCCCATCCATCCACTTGACCCAGACTTGTTAGGAAGCTGGCTTTTTTTCCTGGTCTCTGTGCCTACTGCATGTAGAACTGCCAGAGACATGTAGAATACTGCCATGTTCTACAAGTGCTCAGGAAGCTCTCTTCGTCTTGGTTTATACTTGGAAAGAAGCATTTGAGAGAATGACATTTAGAGGTATTTTTTGGCCTATGAGCAAAAGGGAGAGGAGTAAACTCCAAACTGTAGGCAAGAATTGGTTTTGTGTTGCTCTTGGGATTCAGATATGGGACTAAGGGGGACATGCAGCTAAGAGATGAGGTGAGATCTGGTAGAAATGGAAGCCACTCCTGGGCGTGATGTGATGGTCACAGAACCACATGCGGGAGGTACCAGGTTCTGAAGTGGTTTTGGTCTCAAACAGATAGTCCCTCGATTTACAGCTGTTTAGGTCATACTTTTTTTGGGGCCTTGTGCTGGGAATGTTTACATTAGAGAGGATATGAATAAGAGGCTATCAGAGATGTACACAGAATAACAAATGGTACAGAGAAGGTGAATGGGTAAATAGGAACATCCCCATTCTCCTAATTCAAGAACAAAGGGGAATTCCATGAAATTGAAGGGCAGCAAATTTAAAACCACTTAAAAGGAAGTACATTTTACACAGTGCATAAGTCCATGAAACTCATTGCGAGTTGAGGCCAAGAGCTTAGTACAGTACAAAGAAGGGTTAGATTTTTTTATATGGATTGTGGAAACTTTCACAGTTACATTAGGATTATAAACCCTCATGCCTCTGGGGTATAAGACAGCCACTATCTGACAAGGATTAGGAATGAATTTTCCTTATGGGAAGGTATTCCCTGTCTGTCCATTATGGAGATTCTTGCACCTTCCTCTGAAGAATCTAGTTCTGGCCACTGTCTGGCATACTGTCAATTGTCGATCTAGTCTGCTACCTAGTCAAGAATGGCAATTGCTAGGTTCTTAAGAGCACTTTTGAGCAGATGCCACAGTGTACCTTAATTGCATTACATTGGTGAAAACAATCCTTTTTTGAAACTGCAGAGGCTTCTGCTTCAGGGATAGGCAGCAGGGGGGAATTCCTCTTATAGTCAGACTCTGGAGTGTAAGTCCTTGTTTTCCATCAGAAAGATTTTCAAGCTTAGGTTACAAATCCATTTAGAAGCAGCCCACTAAAAGACCAGCTCCTGCCAAATATAATCTTTCAGCTTTGTTAGAACTTAATACAGTGAAACCTTTCTGGGAAGACCACCTCTGGACTGAACAAAAGAAGCCTTTGTGAGCAGGCATTCTACCTCAAAGAGAAGGCAGTGGAAAGTCAGAACTGCAGCCTGTCAGGCACGCTTCACCAAAGGCCTGTGTGGTTTAGTGTACTGAGACCTTTACGCTGCTGCTCTGTCTCTGCTTCTTCAGTATCACTCTCAACATTCCTCATTGCTTTCTCTTGCAGTGCATTTGGGCGTGAGATGCTGAAGCGAAAGATAGGTGTCGTGGTTGTGGGTTTCCCTGCCACCCCAATCATCGAATCCAGAGCCAGATTCTGTGTGTCTGCAGCTCATACCAAAGAGATGCTTGATACTGTAAGTGTCTGATCTTGTCTTCCTCTCATCCATGTCTGTACCTTCTCTAAACAGAGACGGCATTTGGCTGTTGGTTTTTGCAAGCTGGTTCTGTGTTCGGCACACAAGCCAAACAAGTATTCATAGCATCACAGAAACTAGAGATGAAAAAGATTTCCCTCTGGACAATACGTGGTTGTCTATGGTACATATTCTAGGGCTTTCCTCAGTATGTTTTTAAATGAGCCAGCTAACACTCTGTCCATCACTTCCCTTGAGAGAACTCCCCTTCCTCTCTTAAAAGGCGGTAATTTGTGTGTTATGGATAGTTAAGAACACAAGGGCAAGTGCTTGTTCCTTCTAGCCTTAGACTTGAAAGTTAGAGCTGGAAAAGACGGACTAGCTAATCGGGGCCCAGGAGTGCAGTGTTGTTGACATCAGGACATTACGTACCACTAGATATTCCTGGAGAGAATTCTACACCACTGTGCGCACACCGAATTCATGTCCCCCAGGAGACTTCTTTGTTTCCATGCAGAAAAATTATTTTCTGACAGAGAAGTGAAACGGAAGCCTCAAGAGCGGTCATGCACCCTTCCCCAGTAGTGTGGGCACATCATTTTAGGTGCCTGGAGCAGCTGGTGAAGAGGTAAATCACTGCAGGGGGACAGGGCTGGGGACACCCTGGCCTGTGGCTCCTACCCTGCACCAGGCTTAGCTACTAGTCCCAGATGGGATGAGGATGGGGGAGGACAGGACTTGCTCTTCCCCTGCAAGCAGCAGCTGAAGCTGGGTCAGACCCACTCCGCAAAAACCTCCCTCAGCTGCAGGAAGCTCTCCCTCCCCTTCCCCTCCCCCCCCGCCCCCATCGTTCCTCAACTGTGGGGGAAGGGGTCACTGTATTAGGAGCTGCTACCCCATCCTCCCAACCCCCATGCATCCAGATCCTCCCACCAAGCCCCTTCTGCCCGAACCCCCACTCTGCTGAGCCTCACCCCCTGCATCTGGACCCTCCCTGCACCCAGGGGCCTCCTCCCTCTTGTGGAGCCCCACCTCTGCTGCACCTGGACCCCCCCGCTGACCACTGCACCATCCCAACGAGCCCCCCCACACCTGGACCCCCACCTCACTGAGCTCCAACTCGCTGTACCCAAATTCACACCCCACTAAGCCCCACTTTTCCAGCACCCGGACCCCCCTGCCAAGCCCCATACTCCACACTGACCCCCCCCACACACCAACTCCAACCACCTTCACCTTGACACTCCTACACCCCCCACCCCCAGTGAGGCATCCAGATTTTCACTCACTCACTCACTCACTCTGAGCCACCTGCACCCAGATTTCCCAACATAGAAATCCCTCACACCACACCTGGATCCCTCCACACTTGGAACTTGCCAGGCTGTACCCGGCACAGAGGGGCAGGGCCTCGGGGTGTTTCTGGGGTAGGCCCAGCCCTTGTGCAGTGTCAGGGTCTGGTGCAGCCTCACTGCTGAGTCTGTTTCCCAGGGGGGCTGCAGGGTGATCTCCCACCTTCATGCCTATGCTCCCCACTGCCATGCTGGAGCCTTCACATTTATTTATTGACAAATAAAATTTGCAGAATTCCCTGAGGAGTAACTGGAGTTAGAACTGTCACCCTTGCTAAAGCCTCAGAGGTGAAGGATTGAACACTGTCCTCAGATGTCCTCAGAACGCAGTCCACCTGCACATTGGCAGGTGATGGAGGACTGCTCCGTTGCACCTATTGTGGTGACTAAATTTATTTCAACAGATAGTTGTTTAAGCTTGTCGTCTTTGAAGGACAGGCACACTGTATGTAACCCAGTCCAAGGCTATGTCAAAGCTCCCAATGTTCTGCAGACTCCCTGCTTCATGGTGTGGTTCCATTAAAGCTTTCTAGGAGCTTCATAAAGTGATAACTCAAGTGATGCTTTTCCCTTTGTACTGAACCCAGTACCTCAGAATGGCTCTAGGCGCTGTGCTGCTGGAGTTACTCTTTTCCCAGGAAACTCTTTTGGGAGCTCCTCCTAAGCACTATCTCCTATTTTCTTTGGGAGAGAAGGGGAACTGGTGGGCAAGGCACTCGAGATCACATCTCTGTGGCTAGAGACGTGTAGAGTCAGAAAGCAGGAGAATATTTAAACACACACGGTTTAGACAGCTTAGTTAGGTCATGAGCATATACCCCGTAACTGTATTGATGGATTATAGCCAACTGCGTTGTCTCAGAAGTGTCCAAATACGAGTAGGTAGTAACAGTTCTATATAGTGTAATAGACAGGAGTTGGCAGGTGAGCTGACAGTTTCCAATGTGTTGTCAAAAACCAAGAGCCTACCACCACAGCACCTTTAGATCAGCAGCTGAGAATTCAACTTGTTTGGTTTTTGTCTTTGCTAGGAAACCAATAAAACAGAATGGTATAAGTCATGTATGTGTACACACAATACATAAATGAATGTGCAATTTTATAGCAAGCTTAGATTCAGTTATCTTTCCTCACCACAGTTACTTATTCAATAAAGGATTTACTGCACTATGCGTCACTGATCAGACTCATCCCCTTACAATTATTTAATCAACTAGGCAAACAGGATGACATGCATACAAGTCACCCAAGTGACCACAGTCTCTTAGGCCTTGTCTACACTATAGGGGAAATTCGATCTAAGCTACGCAATTTGAGTTAAGTGAATAGCATAACTCAAATTGACGTAGATCTACTTACTGCGGGGTCCACACTACTCAGTGTTGACGGGAGAGCAATCTGCAGACGATCCCCTGGTAAGTGCAGACAAGCCCTTACAGCTGGTCTACACTGGGAACTTACATTGGCATAGCTACGTCACATAAAGGTGTGGAAAAATCCACATCATAGTTAAGCCTACCTAACCCTCGTCAACAGAAGAATTCTTCCATTGACCTATCTACCACCTCTCAAGGAGATGGATTACCTAGGCCAGTGGTTTTCAACCTTTTTTCATTTGTGGACCCCTACAAATTTTCCAGTGGTGGTGTGGACCCCTTTAGAAATCTTAGACAGTCTGCAGACCAAGTTGAAAAGCATTGTAAGTTGACAGGAGAACACGTCCTGTCAGCATAGGTAGTGTCTGTACTGAAGCATTTCAAGTGTAGACAAGCCCTTACTCTGTCTCTCAATTCTACACTGTCTGTTGTCTCCTCCTGTTGTCTTAATTTAGAGTAAGCACTTTGGGATGAGGTGTCCATCTATTTGTTTTCTCAAGTATGCTTATGATGCTATTATAAATGAATAAATAGTACTGTACCCTTTCCATTCAAAACAAAACCATGCTCCTCTGTTGTAAGCGTACCTTTCTTCTACCATCCTGTTCACTAGTAGCATTCCAACTGGCCAAAGAATATTTCAAATCTTATTTTTTCTCATGTTTATTTTTAACTATTAATATAGCCAATAATAGTAATAACGCTTTATATAGAACTTCTCCAAAAATAACCAGGTGCTTCAATTTAGAGGAAATTATTAAGGCCTGGTCTAAACTGGGGGGGATCAATCTAAGTTACGCAACTTCAGCTACGTGAATAACATAGCTGAAGTCGACGTACTTAAACCTACTCACTGCAGCATCTTCGCTACGGTGAGTTGACTGTTGCCACTCCCCCGTCGACTCTATCTGCGCCTCTCGCAGCACTGGAGTACAGAAGTCAATGAGAGAGCGCTCGGGTTGATTTATCGTGTCTAGATTAGACGCAACAAATCAACCCCTGTTGGATCGATCTCTGCCCGCTGATCCGGCAGGTAGTATAGACATACCATTTGTCTTATTGTGTCTTCTCTGATGTAGAGGGGGAGTTTGGTAGCAAACAGCCATCAGAGGTTAAGCACTGGCCGCCGGATCTGATCCCTCTCTAACTGATTGCAAAAATACCAAAGAAATATTGAATCTGTGATAGAATTGGGGAGGGCTAGCAGGGGGCTTGTCAGAGCTGAGGCTGGAGAGGGAAATTGGGTAAAGTCTACACTTATATGCCTGGAGCTACCAGTTCTATTATCCGGACACTTTCCTAAACAAATTTCACCTAATGTTGGAAGCTTGTACGAGAGAGGCTTAACTTATAAATGATGATTTATAATGATGATTCCCTTTTCTTATTAAATAAACCCACACAATGGGCAGCAGTTCTCCGTTACAATTTATAATTGTTTTATGTAAATAAAATTTCCTTGCCTGAAAATATTTGGCTCTGGATTAGAGCAAAGTCCCTCCTAACCTGCATCCCTGTGGGCTGGTGCTTTCTTTTCAGTGATGAAAAATATATTACACTTTCCTGAAGTCAGAGTTCACCAGTGCTGTTTCCTTTGTAGTCTTTGCTAGTGACATGATTCTTTTTGTTTAAAATTAATAAAATCCTAAATCTGAGTTCAAGAATAACAGTTCTTTCAACAGAAATTCAACCTTAAATTGTTTCCATATGGGGCCTTTCGTTAAAGCTCTGGTAAAACATGCCCACTATTATACTGAAGTCCAGCTTCTTCCAGGCTTGTCATTCCCCCAAATTTTGGAGCGGATAGTCTCTTGCTGCCAGATATAACAAGCATGAGGGGCCATTGTTTAAAGAAACAAAAACTTGAAATATTGATCCAGGAAGGTAAATCTTGTAGAAATACATTAACCCTTCCTGCTAACACCATTCTCAAGAACAGGAGATTTGGACTAGACAATCTCACAATTAGAATATTAATCCTACGTATGGAATTAGTGGATCTCTCATGGAACGGTTGAGTATATCTGTATAAACAAACTTAAGCTTCAAGCACCATTATGTGCAGTAATACTAACCCCAGAAGTTCAGAAATCATGAGGTTGGCCCAGAAATCATGACTTAAACCAAAAAACCTTGTCTTTTAAAGTTTCTTCTAACTTTTGAACTCGTCTCATACGTACTAGGGGATGAGCAAATAGCATTGCTTACTCTTGCAAAACTACATTAAGGTGACTTTGGCTCCGGCTGCAGAAGTCCTTGGTAGAGGACCCAACTGAGATCGGGGCCCCATTGTGCAAGGCAATGTAAAAATGTGTAGAAAGGCAGTCCCTCCCCCAGAGAGATCGGTCTAATGCAAAGCATGATAGTGAGTTTGTGATATGAGATCTGGAATTTGGATTCATCAAACTCCTCTCATATAGGGGCCATCAAACATCCATTAGATGGGAACAACTTCAATCCCTGCTGGGCTGGCCAGGGTTCAATAGGGACCTGCAGGTGAAAAGCTAGGTAGTTCATTTCCACTGCCCTAAGGTGTCCAGTCCCCCATAGCACTAATATTACATCTTGGAGGATGAGGCTTGCTTCCTGGAAAGATATGTTTATTAAATCAAGTTTTGATCACTTTGGAGCTTACACAAGCAGTGTTGTCTATTCAGGACACCAGCAAAATCTGCCGCTGTGCTCTTAAAGGGATAGCTCCCATTTTTGTCTAATTGTTAACTTGCCCATCTCAGTCTGCTAGGTTTTGCTGTAGGGTCTTTGGGACATGGACTGTCTTTTTGTTCTGTTTGTACAGCACCTAGCACAATGGGGTCCATGACTGGGGCTCATGTGCATTTTGATAATATAAATAACCAAATCAAAATAAGAATGCATCAGTAAAACATTAGCACAACATGCAAATTCACTTCTAAATATTTTTTTAATATAAAACAATTACAGTAACTATTCTAGTGTCCATACACTTAATATTTATACTTGTGTATTTTTCACCGCCTCATGGGGCACTAACAGAGTTTGAATCTACAGATCCTCTACACAGACCTCTCTGTGGACCAGCCCATACAGGATTACACAACTGTATGTGAGACAGAAATGGAACATTGGGCATCAGGATTCCTGGGTTCTGTTCCTGCTCTGGAAGTAGATTATGGTCAAGGGGTTACAGAGCATAGCCAAATGTAACAGCACTCCAACTTTGGTTGTTTGGAGATTGGGCATAGACCTCTTGATGTAAAAAGCAGGAGCCTGTGCCTTCAAGCACCAGGTCTCGAAGCATGAAAGCAGTAGCAGAGGCATAAACCTCTGTATGTGGTCTGACCACCAGTGGGTAACACTGAACCCCAGTTAGTGTGGGTGACATAAGTGCCTCATTTGGCATGTTTCTTCTGAAAGGCAGTGTAGCAACATGAGTGAGAGTTAGGTGGGCATGCATGCACACACTTCTTCCCCAAAATCCTGTGAAGGCAGGAGCTCTTCCTGGGGCCAAAAATCACATTACTCACGAGCTGGTGGCATTGTGTTGCCTTGAGGGCATAGGTGCGATCTGAGACAGTATTGCAAATCTGTGGGGGAACTTGCCCTTCCAATGATGAGCCCACAACCTGAGCGCCTAGCTGTTTGTTTGGGAACCGTTCAGGTTCATCCATTCATGCATTCCAAATGGCCAAATTATATGTAAGATTCCACACCCAGCCTTGACTCTTGCTGTTAGACTAGCATGGCTTTCCCAGGAATATTTCAGGTGAGGTCCATCCACTTTGCCATCTTTCAGTGGCAGAGGCATGATCTGGGGGATGTGGCTAATAAAGAATCAGATTCTTCTAAGAAGCCACGCACTCCTCTTATGCTGCACAAATAAAAATATTTTATTGAATGTAAAGCCTGAAGTAAATATCTATTTTTACTTGAGAGCTTCAATCTGTCATAGCAGCAGACCCGTTATCTATTCCGCTGAGCCATTATGTCTGCTATGCAAAGGTTGTCATGTTTGGATGCCTGAGCAAGTTAACATAGATGTGCTTTGATGATTTAGTCTTTAGACCCCAGGTGCTGTCTGTTTCAGTTAGTATTGTAAAGATTCTTTGCTGCAGAGTTGCATATTGTTATGCCATGTTAAGTCTTTGAACCAAAAAAAAAAAAATCTTCGTCCAATTCTAAAATTTGAGACTGATTTTGATTCTCCCTCCCCCGACTGACATTTTTACCTTTAATTCAAAGTCTTTTGAACCATTGGCTTGATTGGCCAGCAACATGTCTTCATCACTTATCCTGATTCTATCCATGTCACCTGGGAAAAAGCTGTCCTTTGCTAATTTGCCTCGTTTATGTAAACTGGTGCAATTTAAAATATAGACAAGGCCTGATGGTGTTGTATAGTGCACATGACACTAGTGACTAGTATCATGAGGGAAAGTCTTCAGTATAATAGATTCTCTTCTTAGGGAGGGTCTGTTTTGATGACTCTAAGGTAGGGTTGCATGTGATGCTAAAAAATTCACTTCAGTCAGTGGTGACCAAAAATCATAGCTGTTTGATGGCCTGTGTGAAATGATCTTCGTCCAGTTTGTAGTAAAGTGTCCATTGCAAAAGAAACACCATTGCAGTGGGCTTCCTGTGTTAGAAGTTTCCATAAAATGAGAGTGAGCTGCTCATCCTAAGATCCGAATGTGTGACAGACCAACGCGACTTTACTTGCAATACAAGCTGATGACGATAAGCTTAGCGCCTGTAAGAAACTTTACACTTTTGAAAGTGCAGTGCTAGTACTAAATAAATATGTAAGGTGTTTGTATAAAGTTTTCTGCCACTTAGTTTGTATATCTGATGTCAGTTTACAGTGCTAAACTGAGTACAGTTGTGTATTTGTGACTATGGTGTATATGGGTCTAAATGGAGTGGATATACCTTGTAATGAGGTACAGTATGAGGATGTGGAGACTGAGAATTGCCTTTTGGGATAGCCCTTTCGGGGTTTGCATTAAGGCACACGGTGTATTGGGGAAGCTTGCTTGCCATGCTGCTATCTTTCACACTTGTTCTGTGCATAAACATAATATTTCATACTCTAGGGACAGTCAATTGTCAGCTTTACACTAAAACCACAATAAAATGATTAGGGAGAAGCTTAGTATTGTCTTTAATTTGTGACAAGGGGCAGCATAGCAAAACCTTGCTCAGTTATAGGGTTGCTTTCAAGGTAGTCTATGCACTTAGTGTATGTCAGAGATGCAGAGGTAGCTGTACTATTAGGGGTTTCATGTCCTGATTCTCTCTGCTGATATGTCGTGGTCTCTCCCCTCTCCCAGGTTTTAAAGGAATTAGATGAAATTGGGGACCTCTTGCAACTGAAGTATTCTCGTCACCGGTTGGTGCCTCTCTTGGACCGGCCATTTGATGAGACTACGTATGAAGAAACAGAAGACTGAACTCCCTCCACATGCCTTGGGGCATTCCCACGAGAGACTCTGTGGCGCAGAGGCCACGCAGTCCTTGAACCACACACTTCTGACTGCTTAGCATAAAAAGGACATTTTTTTCACAATACTGAAGTAGCCACATCATCTCTAAATGGCAATTTGTAAATAGTAAAACAGCTTGATTCTTGTGTCTTCAGGGTAGGGCCCTAGAGAGATGCTTGGCTCTATTTTTTTTCTTGTTGCTTTTTTAATTATTTATTTGTCACTGTGAAATCACAGTGACCCTAGTTGGCACAGATGCCCCACGTACACTACTAGTCTCAGGAGTGCCAGCTGAAATGTTATGTCTGCAGCACGGCACTGTTGTGGTAGCACTTCCAATTTCACTACTAGGCGTCTAACTTTGCCAGGGAGTGATGGGCTGGCCAGTTTGTTCAATGGAGATCTCCTAGAGAAACTGTTGATAACTTGTTTAATCTATTTAACAAGATGCATAATCAACCAAAGCTTTTTCCTTTTGCATTTACTTACGTTTAAAACTTGAGTTGTCTTTTTTTAAATAATAAACATGTTGCTGACATGTCACTGACAGAAACATTGTTCCAAAATGTTGGCTAGTTCCACCAGCCACAAGCAAGAGACCTCTCTGGACTTCAGCCTTTTTCCCCTAATCTGGCTACCAGATTGATTCCTGGTGTGATGCCAAGTATTGTCATTATGGGGGGTGGGGTGATGGAGAGCTTTTCTGAGTAGGAAAGATCTTGCCACTGTTAATTTCCTCATAGCTCTAACTCATGGCATAGTCAGACCTCCATTTCCGAAAATGAATCTATTGTGGCTCACTTCCTCATGTACGAGCAACTTTGCTTTGCTCAAGCTTAAGAGCTGTCCAGGTCTGTTAAAAGATGATCAGATGATTGACAGGTTATAAAAAAAATATATACTCAGAATTATAACTAAAACCCCCAAATCTTTCTCTTCTACTGGAGAAAGCTCCCATTTGCTATCAGAACCGGAATTGCATGGTAAGAAGGGTATAATGAGCAGCTACATTTATTTGGGGCAGTTCTGCAAAAGAAATCTTAGTGCACAGCAATGCAGTTAACTCCAATGTAGCGTGTTCAGATTTGGTTGTCTGAGACTCTCAGTATATTTTGTGAAATTGGTTTTGCAAAGATTAGTGTCTTAAACAAAGCACTGAAGAGACTGCAAAGCCAAGATCTACAATTTGGTGTGGGGGTCCCTCTTAAACTTGGTCTGGTCATGATGCTCTTTGCAGGTGGCAGTGACCTTTAGAATGAGATTCTCAATTTTCAAATGGAAGCACAGTGTGGATCAAGTCCATCTGTCTGGTGCAGCAAAGCAAAAGATAACTTTTTAAGTGTGATTGTAGTTTTGTAACTTTTATTCTGTGCCACTGACAGAAGTGGCACTCTTTGATCACAAAGCCAAGCAGATCTGCAGATACTACGTGGTGGATTAAAGCAGTATCACCTTCTGTTTTATAGAAACCCCATTTTATAACCTAGGCTATGTCTACACTAGCACTTTTGTCGGTCAGGGGTGTGGAAAGAACACATGGCTCGTGAGGGGTGGTTTTAATTATACTCACAGGAGAGCTCTCTCCTGTAGGCATAGAGCGGCTACACGGGAGACCTTAAAGCGGTGCAGCTGTGCTGCTGTCAAGTCTGTAGTGTAGACATAGACTTATGCATCTTGCCCCATGCTGTATAACTAACCCTCAGAAGCAAATTGTCTCAAGTCTAAAAACAATCATTTTTGTTGATTTGAAGTGCAGTAGTACAAAATCAGAAGTTTTAAAAATGTAAGTTGAAATTATGAATTGAAATAGCCACAGATAAGTCCTTCAGTATATCAAATCCACTGGAGATGTTTTGTTTGCTGGAATTGATCATCTATCCATACAATATGTCCACACCTCACATGTGGTCATGATACACCTAGAATAGTTTCCTTTATTTCTTCAGTCATGGAATAAACTGCAAAGTCCTGGAATGATCTGAGTTTATTTTGCCCCTTTGACCCTCTTCACCTGCACTCTGCCCATTAAGTTTTCTCAGCCAGGACTGCTTGTAACATTCCAAACCAATGAGTAGCTCAGATAGCTGCTGCTTTTTAAAAGGTCCTATCATAAAAATAGCTGCTGGTTTTTTTCCCCTCTGCTCAATGTGTCAGGAACCTGGATAAGATCATCCCAAGAATTCCGGATCAAAGCTCCAGGCCTGGTCAAGTGATACCTTTAAGGACTGATTTCTGGCTCTGGTAGCTTGTATGAAATAAAGGCTGTAGGTCAGTGGGGACCTGGGATTTTTGCGGCTTCTCAGGGCTGTACAGTGCACTTGTATCCAACCCCATGTGATCAAGCTACTGAACCTTTACAATTGTGAGGTGCTGACTCCCAGAAAACCTATTTTAGGTTCTAAAAATGTAAGTCCTAATTTCTTTCCCTCTTCCTGTGCATTTGGTCTCTCGATGCTAAGGCAGTCTGGCTTTGTAGACAGAGGGTAATGAAAAATACTATTACATTACTTTATTAAACTCCTTAAAGTATTTCTAACACAGGTTTGCTGTTTTTTAAAAAAAAAAGTCTCAAAATAGTTAATGTGCAGTTGGGTTCTATGACAGTTGTTTGGGATGACCTGTGGTGATAATGCCATTACACCATGGTACACCAGCATATTAAATACTGTATCCATTCCTAAGACTTGGCTCAATCACACTCTGTCCAGCTAACATTGTGAAACCACTTGATTAAATTTCAGTCTTGGATTGCCCTGGGGTCTGTGCTGCATCCTGTATGGGAAGTGGGATTTTTTTTTTCTGGTTCAGGAGGCCCATGTTACTTCAGGAGGATGTGTTTGGCCAAAGTCTGATAACTAGATAAATTGCTTCTAAAAACATGTTAAGAGCTTGAGATTTGACACATTGTGTTCAGGTAGTCGTGTTTTAAAAGCTAGGGAAATCTTTCAAGGTCCATTGAAAATTTCATCCCCAGAAATGAAAGAGCAGGTCCCTGCTGCATCAGACTATGCTTGCCTTCATGTGGAAACGGGATGGCAGTGTACCCGGAGGCGGGGGGACAGTTGCAAAGCTTTCACCAGAAGTAAAATTCATGCCCTTTTTGTCCTTGCCAAAGTAGTAAATGAAAGACACTCTTAGAGTGAAATGAGAAGGAGAGAGGCTGCTTAGGATGCAGACCTCAGGCCCTGCCAACTTTTATGAGCAGCTTTAATTGAAAATTCTGTTTTTTTCCCTGCTTTTATATAAAGAGATGCATAGCTCCAAGACAGAATTAAGGCTGGCCTTGTGCAGAGGGTTTCTCTCTGTACTGTTCCTTCACTGAATTTTGACCCTTGTCATGCAACTGCATCTCTGGAGAACGGAGTTAAGGAAAAGAGAAGAAAGCTTACTTCCTGAGCTGGAGAGGACTTTAAAACACACACTGCTAGTGCTGATGTCTGTTTTATTAAACCTAAAGGGATTTCCAGTCTTACACTCAGCTTTAGTAAAGGGAGGCCACTGTGCGCTAGTGAAGGATGTGGTCCTTGCATCCTGCTGGGGACTGGCCTTCCCCTACTGGGAGATTTTTCTAGAGTTAAGGAGGCACCTGAAGTTCTCATGATCTGTAGTCACCATTCTATTTCTTTTAGTTCCTGTGGGAGAGAGGGGGCGGCTTATGTTTTTGGTATCAAAATATCCAGGATTTGGTTTGTATCATAGGAGACAAGCATTTGTACAAAGTCTCAGCGTGCACGCTATTTTTTTAACACGGTTTGATTTCTCTATCTCTGATGTGCACATGTCTTTTTACTTCTGAGGAGCAACTTGAGAGGTTTTTTTTCCCCACTCTGGGCCCCTGCTGTTACTGGTAAAGAACACTTTGCTCCAATCCAGAGCTCCCGGCCGTGAGCTGGTCCAATTCCTTGTGGGGGTAAAAGCACTTTCTGCACCCTCCCTTATTGCCTGTTGCAGTCAGTTATCAGGGATAGGTAGAATGTTTCAGCAAGGGAATTGCAGCATTTTCCTCTTACACACCTAGAGAACAGAAATACCCCTCACCGTCTGTCATAATTGCACCTGCCTGCCGAAAGCAGGCACGGGAAGTGTTCCAGTGAAACTAATGCAGCCCAGTGCCATTCATGCGAGGGAAATCTGGCTTCCTGATCCAACAGTGGACAGTGAACAAAGAAAAGATTACCGTCGCTTTCTCCTCTCTGCTGTATGGAAGGCTTTTCCACATGCTTTAGAGCAGTGATCCTGAAAGTAAGAGTGCAGCTCCCACTGGGTTGAAGGGTCTGAGCCTTGCCTGCTCCAGACCTCCTGAAGCTCCATATAAATGGAAATGCTCCCTCCCATCTGCTGGCCACCTTTAACTCCCTTCCCCCTTTGGAAAAGTGTTTGGCTTGTTGGGTAAACGGGGCAAGAGGAGAGGTTTTTTTTGGCCTCCAGGTATTTACAGTCTAGGACTCCTACTGTCTATTAGTGAGGTTAGTTAACAGATCGTTCAAGTGAAGCAAAGGAGAGGGTGGGAGAAGAGACATGGGGAGTCTGATCACACATAAGAGGGTGTCCTGCAGAGTTCTAAACTGCTACCATGGCCACCTTTCTCTCTCTGCAGACAGTACGGCCTGTGGAGACGTGTTGCAGAATGTAGTGCTCCATCTTAACCACTATAGTTATACTCAGCTTTTGAGAACGTTGAATGCTGGAACCTACAGTCTCCATCAGTTGCACCTGTGTATTGAAGAGTGAGGCAGCTGCAGACTGTTCCATTTTAACATAAGTTCAGCCTCAGGGTACCGGTAAATCGCTAACGTGACTGTCAGGTGTAACGTTGGCTGTCCCAGGACTAGAGCTGGAACTGAAGTGGACCACCATCAGGTGAGAGAAGCAGTCAGGTGTAGTCCATTTAACTTGAAACCATTTTTTAAACTCGGTTTTAATTGTGGTGACTTGTACTCCTGCGAAGGTTCCCAGTCTTGCAAGCTGTTTTCCTGTCCGAAGGTTTTGTGTGTGGGGCTTGCACGCATGGGAAATGTCTGCCTGGGGGAAGTACTTTGGGGTTTATCTCATGTTAACGTGCTTTGTACCGAGCTTGGAGCTCTACTGTTCCGTCTGTGTCCCAAAAAAGAGTTGGGTGGGGGAGGAGGGATGACTGGACTGCACAGTGCGTACTATTAAAAGGCCTTAAACTGATTTTTTTATATGAAGAATTAATAAACTGACTCTAAAGAATACAATAGATCTTAACCCGCAGATATTCTGGACTCGTAATTAACCAATAGAGAATGTTGTGTCTTGGGGGTGGGAGGGGTGGGTTTTCTTTGTGTTCAGCCCTGCCTATCAGCAAGGTTTGTTTAATAAGCAGAAGAGGCATCTGTACACAAGGGTCAAGTGCAGTCATTACAGCTCTGCATCAATGCTACTGCTTGGCAAGGTTTGGTGATCTGCCCCTGGGGCTGCTGGAAGAGAGGAAGGATTAGGGGGAGGCTGGGAGAGAGAGGTTTTAGCATGCAGGAAGTTGTGGCATCTAGCAACTTAATTATTTCTTCGCCTGTAGACAAGCATGTGTGTCAATGGAGCAGCAGGATTGGGCCAGGGGTTGATGCAGATAGAAATATCGCTGACCAAATGAAGTGTGCTGTAAACCATACAGACACTGTATGTGCCCACTGTTTGCCAAATCTCACCCTGTTCAGCCAGTGTTTCTGCAGTCCCCTAACAGGGTGTATTAAGCCAAAGGCATTTCCAGTTTTTCAATGTCACTCCAGAAGGGGGCTAATAAAGGTCTGCAAGAGAGCAAAATAACTAGCATGGAGCCTGAGGCTTTAGGCTAGCTGCCCCAAAGCTAATGGTGGCCCATATTTCCATAGCCCTAGGGTTGAATCACCACCCAGTCAAAGCTTTTGAAGTCTTACATTGCACAGTGTTCCTTTGCCTCTGCATTGCTATAATGTACATATATATATTGGATCTTTTGTAGATATGAAACATTTTAAATGACCTTTTTAATGGGCTTCCCCAGAATATTTTGTGCCAGATATTTACTTTTTTTTACACTGTTGAGGATGAACATGAAGCTGGGTACTGTGTGGGCAGGGAGGGAGAAGAGAAGCAGATGGTCCATTGACTATAAAAAGGGTAACAATGCATGTTAAAAACACTGGAGAAAAACAACTGCTTGGAAAAAAATTGTTCATATATAATCTGTTCTACATAATAAAGAATTCGGAAAAGGCCTGGGGAGTGTGTTTGCTTTTTACAAATGTTGACAAGATTTCTGCCCTGAAAGTGGGTCAAGAAGCACAAGCTGTTGGGCTTGCTGTCGGAATTGCTGGGTAAAATTCTATGGGCCTGTGTTATGCAGGATGTAATGGGCTGCTTTAGAAGAAGTTGTGGAGTTGCCCCTCAGCTCTGGTCTCATCCATACTCGCAATACATTTGCAGCACTGTCTTAATGCCAGTGAAGCCTCCAGGAGGGGGTTTTAGTCTGTTCCAGCTTTGGAGCTCAACTCGCATCTCTGCCTGGAAATACATGGCTCATTTCAGATCTAAATTCAGCCATCTGTAAATCAGAGATGTCAAGTCTTTGAAATTGAGAACAGACTGGGTCTGGTATTCCAGCACAGGTGCTCAAACTGGCCTATAGGTGACTGAATACTGATTTGAGCAGGCAAATGAGGCAGGATTGGGACTTACTGTTAGCATTTTCTCATTTGGAAAATGGATTTCTGTTGTCCGAAGGAAACCCAAACATTTCTGTGCTTGATCTGCAAGGAGGCTACGTCCCTTTCGGATATGCTATGATAATGAATACTTCTCAGTTTTTATTTTTCCCCCAATTCTTGCATTTTCCTCTGAGTGGCTGGATAGGACTCTGGTTCCTCAGATGTTTGTCACCCTTTATAAAGGCCAGTGCAGTGGTGGATTAGCCACTGAGACAACAGGGCTCGTGCCCAGGGGCCCTGGAAAAAATCTGCCACTGGGCAGCAGAACCCCGGAGTCTTGGCAGCAGCGCTGGGCGGGGCAGGGGAAGCCCCAGTTCCCCCGAACCTGCTCCCCAGCAGCAGCGGCAGGTGGGCAGGACAGGGGAAGCCTCCCATGCCCCTAACCCTGTCCCCAGCAGAAGCTGCAGGACAGGGGAAGCCCCTCACGGTGGCCCCTGTCCCCACCAGAAGCCATGGGGCAGCAGGGCAAGCCCCCACACCCAACCCGCTCTCCAGCAGAAATGCCGGGAGGGGCAGGAGAAGCCCCAGCGCCCTGACCCTGGTGCCCTGCAGAAGTGTGGGGAGTGGCAGGGGATGCCGCAGCACCCTGACCCCTGTTGTGGCCCTGGAACTGCAGGAGCTTTCACTCCCTGCTTTGCCCCGGGGCCATGGCGCGGGGACAGAGCTTCTCCAGTCTTGGGGCTGCGGGGGGGGAGGGGAAGGAAGGGGGTGGTAGAATGGGCGGACCCTGGGTAGAACAGGGGCGGGCCCTTGGGAAAGGGGCAGAAAGGGGTGGGGGTGTGGGTGGGGCTGCAGGTGGAAGGGGGTGGGGAGGGGCTCTCCACTTGCTCTGGCCCAGGTGAGGTCTCAGGAAACCTTAATCCACCCTGGGCCAGTGGGTCCATAATCAGGTCCTTGGATGTTTGGGCCTAAACAATCCACGAGGCCCTCTGTTATTCCAGAGGCCTCTGCCCCACACACATGCATGAGGGTCCATAGAGACAAGGACACAAATTTCAGAAAGGAAGGAGATAGCTGAAGAAGAGGTCACAGGAACACAGATTGGGGGACGGGGGCGGTCCCAGGCACAACTGGAGCTGGATGGTGTTCTGCATGTATTTCTCTCCTGGGGCTCTATGGTAAGTCTTAACACTGACATTGTATGGGAGAGGTACTATTGATGATGATGCAGGCTCTCACTTGGGAGAAGCCATGGTAGCAATGGGGTCAGGATCAGCTGGCAATGCATCTCGAGCTGATGCTCTTTGGAAAAACAAACTGTTCCACTAATTGGATCAGAGCATTGGCAGGTGAGCATGACCTACTGAAAGGTCTGAGCCTTTCTCTGGAGCCATATTAGGAGAGAAGCAGCCATGTGCCGAGAAGCAGCCATGTGCCAAGAAGCAGAAAGTCACATCCTCACATTCCATCTAAATTACATTAAAACAATGTAATATCAGACTGTTAAGAAGGTGATCCTGTCCGAATAGCACCCACCATTACCAGATAAAGGAACAGATTTTAAGATGGTTAAAGAAAACTTTGTTTGATAGCATTCTGTCTGGCAAGAAACCACTTATCAACAGTTGTGACTGTAAAATCTATACTTCTGTTGTTTTGTCCCCACTGTTCTATTGTTTATCTATATGGTCTCTGTCTGGTTCTTTGATTGTTTCTGCCTGTTGCATAACAAATTTTGTTAGGTGTAAATCGATGGTGGTGGGGTAGGATGGGTTAAAGGATTGTTTTACAGTATGTTAGGATTGGTTAGAAAATTGTTTAGTAATATTTTAGTAAAATGATTGGTTAAGGTACAGCTTAGCAGGACTCAAGTTTCATTATATAAACTGGGGTCCAAAAGAAAATTCTTGCGAACCAACTCCAGAACACAACCCCACGATCAGAGCTGCTAGACCACAACACACTGCCAACCACACTGTGCAGAAACTGGAGTCTCCCAGATGACCTGATCCTGACTGGCCATCAAGAAAAGTTAATCCACTTTATTGGGAGTGGTGAGCATGGTACACTTAGCATATGCATTCTGTTTTGGTGACTGTTAATAAAGGTTAAATAGGATATTACTATGTGAGGCTCTTTCATTGGTAAAAGACCACACAAACCCGCAGAGTGTAAGGTTACGCCCTGAGCCCATGGAAGGGTAAGGGTGGGTGCCTAAATTAAGAGGGTTACGCCTTGAGCCCTAGGAACTGGGTAAAGATGGGTGCCCCTGGAGTGTGTGAGTAACAGAGAATTTTGTGCAGGTAACATTATGATCCAGCTTCTATCCAGGAGAGCACTTCAGAGGGGGTTTGGAGAAATTGAGACACAAGAGGTTATAAAGGGGCAGTTACAAATGGAAGAAAAAACTGTTACGATAACATGGATGGAGAGGAAAATCCAAACAGAAAAGAAGAATATTTTGAAGAGAGTTCTGAGGTCTAAGGTCTTTCAGGCACATCTTATTCTGGCTGGTTAAGTGCCACCCATGTGTGCACTGCTGTATCAATGAATTATTGGCAGTGAATTATTGAATTATTGACTATACCACACCTTGAGTCTATGATGTTAATGCTGGCTTGGCTATTTCTACACAAAAAATTAAAAACCTCCCCTGAATAGTCTCCTATCCTTGGATGATGCAGTGGGGCAGCATTAGTTAGGTCCAGAGATGAGATACAGCTGCCTTAAAATTCTGCGGAACATCCATCTTCCTCAGACCCTTGCAGGTAGGGATGGTCAACCACTCTGCCACTGCCTGGGTGATGGGAGGCTCTCTCACTACCATGTACACTCAGTAGCTCAGTGGGCTCAGAGCTCTAGCTTTTGCAACACTTGTGTTACAAAGATGTCTTACTAGGTTTTCATTGAATCAACCTAGTGACAGAGGATGTGGAAAAAGCTAATGTACTCAATGCTTTTTTTGCCTCTGTCTTCACGAACAAGGTCAGCTCCCGGACTACTGCACTGGGCAGCACAGCATGGGGAGGAGGTGACCAGCCCTCTGTGGAGAAAGAAGTGGTTCGGGACTATTTAGAAAAGCTGGACGTGCACAGGTCCCTGGGGCTGGACGAGTTGCATCCGAGAGTGCTAAAGGAGTTGGCAGATGTGATTGCAGAGCCATTGGCCATTATCTTTGGAAACTCATGGCAATCGGGTGAAGTCCTGGACGACTGGAAAAAGGCTAATGTAGTGCCCATCTTTAAAAAAGAGAAGGAGGATGATCCTGGGAACTACAGGCCAGTCAGCCTCACCTCAGTCCCTGGAAAAATCATGTGGCAGGTCCTCAAGGAATCAATTCTGAAGCACTTAGGGGAGAGGAAAGTGATCAGGAACAGTCAGCATGGATTCACCAAGGGCAAGTCATGCCTGACTAATCTAATTGCCTTCTATGACGAGATAACTGGCTCTGTGGATGAGAGGAAAGGGGTGGATGTGTTGTTCCTTGACTGTAGCAAAGCTTTTGACACGGTCTCCCACAGTATTCTTGTCAGCAAGTTAAAGAAGTATGGACTGGATGAATGGACTATAAGGTAGATAGAAAGTTGGCTAGATTGTCTGGCTCAACGGATAGTGATCAATGGCTCCCTGTCTAGTTGGCAGCTGGTATCAAGTGGAGTGCCCCAAGGGTCGGTCCTGGGGCCGGTTTTGTTCAATACCTTCATAAATGATCTGGAGGATGGCGTGGATTGCACCCTCAGCAAGTTTGCAGATGACACTAAACTGGGAGGGGAGGTAGATATGCTGGAGGGTAGGGATAGGATACAGAGGGACCTAGACAAATTAGAGGATTGGGCCAAAAGAAATCTGATGAGGTTCAATAAGGACAAGTGCAGAGTCCTGCACTTAGGACGGAAGAACCCCATGCACCGCTACAGACTAGGGACCGAATGGCTCGGCAGCAGTTCTGCAGAAAAGGACCTAGGGGTTACAGTGGACGAGAAGCTGGATATGCGTCAACAGTGTGCCCTTGTTGCCAAGAAGGCCAATGGCATTTTGGGATGTATAAGTAGAGATATTGCCAGCAGATGGAAGGACTTGATTGTTCCCCTCTATTCAACTTTGGTGAGGCCTCCTCTGGAGTACTGTGTCCAGTTTTGGGCCCCACACGACAAGAAGGATGTGGAAAAATTGGAAAGAGTACAGCGGAGGGCAACAAAAATGATTAGGGGACTGGAACACATGAGTTATGAGGAGAGGCTGAGGGAACTGGGACTGTTTAGTCTGCGGAAGAGAAGAATGAGGGGGGATTTGATAGCTGCTTTCAACTACCTGAAAGGGGGTTCCAAAGAGGATGGATCTAGACTGTTCTCAGTGGTAGCTGATGACAGAACCAGGAGTAATGGTCTCAAGTTGCAGTGGAGGAGGCTTAGGTTGGATATTAGGAAAAACTTTTTCGCTAGGAGGGTGGTGAAACACTGCAATGCGTTACCAAGGGAGGTGGTAGAATCTCCTTCCTTAGATATTTTTAAGGTCAAGCTTGACAAAGTCCTGGCTGGGATGATTTAGTTGGGGATTGGTCCTGCTTTGA